TTTGCATATACAGTATTGTAGATTAATAAAATAGACTCTAATATATTCAAGGTTTTTCATTCTAAATATTTGGATTGGTGTAACTTTAGTTATAATCAATGAATCGATGAACTAATTTCTAGCCGATACCTAATGTTAGTGTGCCAATTGCGGTCTGTTTCTGGCACATCATCAGTTGTGTATTAGATGTGATAATGGATTGTCAGCAAATGACAGAGGCTTTTATCACCATTTGACTCTTTTTGTCTGAATATTTTTCCAACAGAATCTGAAGTCAAATCTGACAATGTGGAAGCTTGGAACCCTGCCACCTGCTTTGATTGCATTTAAAGGTCATGTTCATCCAATTGATCCATCGTGGCATATGCTTGGCTTGGGTTATCAGAACAAGACCAATGTTGAAAATGTGAAAAAGGCTGCAGTCATCCACTACAACGGTCAGTCCAAGCCATGGTTGGAAATTGGGTTTGAGCATCTCCGGCCATTCTGGACCAAGTATGTCAACTACTCCAATGATTTTGTAAGGAACTGCCACATCCTGGTGTGATAATGGATCAACTGGAAGAGATAAATACAGAAGATGGGAATGGAGACAAAGACAAAAGTGATATTTGGTTTCACATAATTCTTTTGGCAGGTTGGAGTCTTTCCTGAAATCTACCATGAAGGGAAGTAGGAAAAACTGGCTGAGAGGACAAAAAATTCCCTAGTCTTGGTTTAGTGTCATCCTAGCTAGCACATTTTGCAGGAGCTGAGAGCTGCATCGTTAGCACGGGCATGAGATTCATTCTTTCAATCTGTGACATAGCAATCAGTCGACTATTTTTTGGTTAAAAAAGAATACTATTATTTAGTCTTGGTGCAGGGGAAGTCTTGGCTGGTTCCTTGGTGAAATATATCTCAAGAGTGGAAGTGTCCTTGATCAGTGCATTTACTGATTCATGCAGGGAGGAAGGAAGGTAGGACTATTTGAGGTTCCCCTGTCGACCCAGAAGTTTTTCTTCTTTTAAATTCCTCTCGATGTTTTCAATTTTTTTTGGGTAGTATCTCCACAATTTTCCCCCTTGATATGGTATGATAACGGTGAACTTTAGGAGTAGGCTATGGAGATTGCTTTGTTACAGGTCCTTTTGAATTGGGGAACAGTTCTTAGGTTATATATCATCAGTAAGCAGTATTTGTTATGTACGATTCTTGAACAACATTTGAAATGTGCAGAAAATTCTTTTTCCCAATATTTCCATCTTTTCTCTTTGGCTTCATAAATAAATATATCAGATTCTGATTCCTTATCTTGCTTTCTTTTTTTTTTTTTTTTCCTTTGTGCTGTCGTTTATAATGATATTTTTTGTGTGAAGAATAATAGTCATTTTAAAGGGATATAACTATTAATAAAATCTAAAATCTCAGGTTCAAAGAAGTAAGGGGAAGTCTGGTTTGGGTTAACAGTTTTTGGAAAATGCTTAATTATTATAGAGGTTTGTGTAAGTTGTTGGATTGAAGTGATTATGAAAGTCATTAAAAAAGGAAGAAGAGGAGTTTAGGCATTAAAAGATAATGGAGGTAAAATTCTTGTTTATGGAATCTAGTTAGTTGATAATGACAAGAAATCTAATTAGAATAATTTTCTTGATTTAGCACCAAACAAATCATATGTTGGTAAGTCTGATATTTCAATGTGGGGTTCCTTGTTGTTAACAAATTCTGTTAATCATGTTTTTCTTAAACCCAATTATTTAAGGCTTAGGAGACCCCCCCGTAATTGATTCTTTCAAGCTTAAAAAAAGTTTTTCTTTAATATCCCAACTACCTACCTTAAATACACATTCGAGTTAGATTAAAGATTTTTTTTTTTTTTATCACTAATACGGGTGATCTACCAATTAAAATTTGTATATTTTATTTAAAAATAATTAATTTAAATTTCATTGAAAACGTAAAATTTAGTATCTCTACTAATGTATTATAGGATCTATAATAATACATTTAATAAAATATATATATAATTTATCACTGTATAAATAAATTTATATTGACGTTTTTAAATTTCATGCCGATAAATTATTATTATTATATATATGAGTGAAATAAATATCACGTGATTGATAAATTTTTTTATTAAAATAAATATAAATATAAAATTAAAAATATTTAATTTAGACGACAAAGTATTTTTATTATAAGGTTGTGATAATTTGAGTTCAGACTTCAAATTGAATTTTGTGGGTGTGTTCTGGTAGAGGGTTGACATGATCAAACCACGTGATATTTTGAAATTTTTCTGAAGAGTTTTGACAAATTCCGATTTCCAAATTGGCTAATTTCTAATTGTACTACGAACACTTCCCACTTTCTGTCAAGCTACCATATACTTATGTGTCCTATGACCAAAATATTTTTGTTACATGCACCTATTATTTTTTATTTTATAAATAATTTTGGCATATATTGAAAATTAGTATTTTATTTTTTTTTTGTTTTAGTTTAATTTCATTTCATTCACATTTAGTTCTTAACTATAATTTTATGCAATTGGGTTTTTTTTTTTGTTTAATTTTTATATTAAATTTAATATACATAATTATAATATAATCTATTGTGTTTGAAGTCACATAAATTTAGTAGTTAATATATAAATACCATTTCAAGAATATGAAAATTGAAATTTCACTGTGACAACTCGAATATAATAAATTATCTTTCAATTATATGTACATTAAAATTAATATAATAATAAGAGCTAAAGTTTGACCTAAAATTAATAAAGTACAACCATTATTATCAAAATCAAGTAACAATAATTAAAGAACAAATATTAATGTGTCTTCTTCAATTTTAATTACTGAAAAACATTGCCTTCTTATCAAAATGGTGTTTAAGAATAATTTTTTACATTTAAATTAAACAAATTATATTATTTATACCAAAAATAAATTAATAGTGAAGTACTTTTAAAAAAAAAAAACAAAAAAAAAAATTGGTTTAATTATATTAAATATTAAATATTATGTAAAAATGATAGAGGAGTTTGTACTATTTATAATGTAAAATTCATTTGCCAATTTCATCAAATTATTTTAATATTTTGGGAAAATCTATTTGCAAACAAAATAATTTAAATAAAAAAATTGTACCATAATGTGTTTCAAAGTCAATTCTGGTCTAACTCATATATATGTATATATAAAGACCAAAATATTCACCATGCTTGAAATAATTTTACTTTAATTTTTAGAAAATATAATTTCTCTTTTACAGAAGAAAACTGTCCATGTTCTGATTTATTGGAAGTAAAAAGAAAAAAAAGCAAGAAGTCAATTTTTTTAAGGAGAAAGAGAAAAGAAAACCAAAGTAAAAGAGGAAGAAGAAGAGAGAAGGGCAAAGAATGGATGCATTGACCACAGATTTTGATGACTTTGAGAACTCCGAAACAGACTGGTTCTGAGAGTTTACATGATCTCTTCTTCCATTAATTTTTATGGATTAATGAACTTCTTCCCTGACCCTTCTTCTTCTTCTTCTTCTTCTTCTTCTCCTCCTCCTCCTCGTCCTTCTTCTCGCTTGGAATTTGGGGCCAAAAACTGTGAAGATAGAGAACAACCCACATCAAGTTTGGACTTAAATAAGACAGCAAGTCACGTGAAAGAAGTTCGTTGTTCTTGGATATTTCCTAGTAATTGCTCGATCTTCTGCATTGGTTTCTAATTAATTTGAGTGGAACCCAGTTGGGGATTTAAGTTAATTTTATGATTTGAAGAATACCCAGGTTGATTTTTTATGATTTGATAATGGAAAGATCATTGCTTTATATATGCGAGTGTTGACTGCTGTAGCTGCTGTTTTTAGTGATTACGCTTTTGCTTCATATTGTTTTCTGTGTCCGTGTTTTTTTGTTGGGCTGGATTGTAGTGTTAGTTCCATTTTTGGATAGCTTTAATTGGTATCTTTTTTTTTGGCTTGCAAAATTTCATTTTAGTAAACTACAATCCAAAATTTCCATCTATAATGGTTTCTTCCCTTTTCACCTAGTTTTTCCAATTATAGATGGATGCATCTAGTTCTCAGTGCTAAACCCTGATTGACCCCTATATATTTATCGCTTTCTTGGTAGTAAACCAAAGGTGGAGCCGTATCTCCGTGAGATTTTCGATTCAAGCGTGAGATATTCATTCAACTAGTAAACCCAACTGGGTGGTTGGTAGGGCACTTCTGGGAGATCTGAGTGTTTGTTGTTGAAGATGGCTGGTGCGAGAGATCAATTTGAGATCAGGTTCCGGTTGACTGATGGTTCAGATATCGGTCCAAAAAGCTTTTCTCCTGCCACAAGTATTGCAACCTTGAAAGAGAGCATTCTGTCTCAGTGGCCCAGTGGTTAGTAAGAGTTTGATTAATATTTTCATGGTGATTTTGTGCGTAATGTGATGAAGGTTTATCGGGACGACAGGATTTTTTGTCACTGTGTCTTTTTGGTTACTGTTTCATTGTGATAATTGATTGGAACTTAAGATCTGTATTCAGAACATGTTTTGCTGCTTGGATTTTATGTTTTGGCACCTGTGAGATTTACTTCTGTTTGTTAGATAAGAGAAGAATATCAGGAAAAGGATATTAGGGGGAATGGAATGGTTTTTCTCTGCTCTTTGTCATTGTAATTGTTCTAATTCATTCGAGGCAGAGTATTTTATTAGGTATTTTCCTGTCACCAATCAAAAGCACTTGATTTATGCATGAATTTGCAAGGGAATCGAAGAGATTTTAGAGTAATACTATGATCGGATATACAGACTCCCTGAATGCGATGTGGTACCATGACCTAATTCTTTTGCTAAGGTATATACTTTTCCCAAACATT